TAATCTCTTCACGATTTTATCTTAGCATGTGATTTTGAGTTAATGTGTTGTAATCGTCAAATTTATTTTTTCTGTATGATTTTGCATTAATATATTCATGTATGAAATATTCTATAAAACTCTATTTTCTGATTATAGTATAGTTTTTAGTCAAAATCATTGTGTATCTTCAACAATGTATTCTAATTGAGATATTTTACTGTAAAATTATATCTAAAAGTCACGATGTAATGAAATATAATATTATACAACCTGTCATTTAAACCTTGATTTATATAGAATATGTGAAATCATTAGGATATTTGCATCTAGATGTTAACTATATAAGTAACTCAAAATTGTCATGATTATAGATTTTGAGTTATTTTGAAAACTCAAAATCAACAAAAGTGTTCTAATCTGCACACTAGTTGTTTAGGATCTCATTAGAAATTTTAAGTTATTATTTTTGTGCTAAAAATTTTAGAATAAAAGTCTATTTTTAATTATTCTTATAATGTTACAAATTTTTTATGTATGTTATATTAATTGAATGTAGCTGGATATTTTATTCTAATAAATATTCCATTACATTGATTTTATTTTTCATGATGCATGCAAACTAAATGCTAACCTACATGTGCACTAATTGAACAATCTATGCAGTTTGGATAATATGATTGAGCAAAGGATCTTAATATGGTGCAAGAAAGGATGTAATGGAATGAGGATTGTTGATCGACATGATAAAATATTTGCAATAGTTTAATCGTTATTAAGAGTATAATTCTCTTTGAATGTTGGCTATATTTTTAATATTTTGAACAACATGTATGGTTTACTGTTTGGTAAACAATAGTTATGGTTTAAGGGTTTGAAGATTGATGAAAGTTTAATAAAACAATATTATGTTTGGACAATAGTTATATGTTAAAGAATAATATATGTAGTCTTATAGTTTATCTCATGTAATGATAGTAATGTCTTTCACATCTAAGATGAATTTAAAATTAAAGATTGTATGTATAATATTCTATTAGAATAATAATTTATGTTTTCTGTTATAGTAAGTATATGTATAATACTCTAATAGAATAATGTTATGTGTTGTTTTTTTTATCATAAATTGATGTTTTTGTCTTGTTTAGAATTTACATGATAAATCAAGCTAAATTTTATAAGTAGAGTGAATGATGTTTAAAATCGTTAGAATGTTGCAGTTTATGATGTATGATGTTAGTAATATAATAACATAATATTTTATATTTTTATGTTAAATAAGTTAATTCATTTACATTACAATATTGTGTATATATAGTATATTCTAATACAATAATGTTGTAAGTTGTATGTTTTCGAATAATGTTGTAGGTTTTCGATTGAATAAATTGATTTATTACATGAAAACAATATGTATATATAGAATATTATAATAGAATAATGTTATATGTTTTATGGTTTTATAATCTATATGTAGTATATTTTATTCTAATAGAATAATATTATATGTTGCATGTTTTCATAATTTAAATGTAGAATATTTCAATAGAATAATAGTCTATTATTTTCTAAGTTATAAGTAGAATATTCTAATACAGTGATGCGTAATTAAATTTAGTTTTTTTTTTTTTTTTTTTTTTTTTTTTTTTTTTTTTTTTTTTAATTCTCATTAGTATGATATTATTCTAGATATTCTAACCATTCAATAATTAATATTACAATTAAGTTACAATATGTAAGATTCTAATGTTATATGTAATATTATGATATTGTTATCTAATATTTTGAATTTGCAATTTATAGTATTACAAGAATATATGCAATAATCTATAGGAAACTAAAATAAATTATATGTAAAATATTCTAATAGAGTAATGTTCTAGTTAAATACGTTGGCACTTTTTAATTATATTCGTTAATAGTGATATATAAAAATGATATTTATTTTGAATATAGAATAATAGAATGATATTCTAATTTACAAATCTTGTCATTGATAAACATTAGTGTTACAGGGTATTATACATGTAAAAAGAGCGTTTATAGAATACTTATCTTAAAATTAAAATTATAACATTAAAAAAAACTTAGTATCATAATAGTAGTTGATTATTTTAACAACAAAAACCAAACTTGAATAAAAATACGATATTTTTACAAAGTGATTAAAACTTAACATGGATTATGATTTACAAAAGTATATCCATAACATTTCGGTTATAAAGAACTGTTTGTACAAAACTATAGTAACCCCCAATATATAATTTCAATAAATTACACAATCATATCATAATATTACACATAATTTTAGATTAAACACTAACATGATATTATTAGATGTGTAATATGACAAAGTTAGACATGTAGCAACACGATATCATATATTGAATCAAACTAGTTGATTATTTCAACAAAAAAAAATCAAACTAGAATATTCTAAATCCAAACAAAAGAACCATTAGTTGAAATGAATTCAGTGCTTGAATAAGATTTTTCTTCAACGACATTATTTAGAGCTGCAAAAATAAATACCCGACTAATATTTATCATTATATAATGATTTACAAATTATATTCTGAACACAATATTATAAATAGGAGAAATACGGAATGACATATAGGTAATGGTTTTCAATTATTATAATTAGAATCATGTATTATGTAAACTAATAACAATATGTTGAATTATGTTTTGATCATAATAATTTGCATTCTTTTGAAATTAATCGTGAAACACATAATGTTAAGAGCTTGTATTCTTATAAATTATAATTTTTGTGAACTACAGAAATTAAAGTATGATTAATATTCTAGAATTGTATCTATTTAGACTATTGTATTATCTGGAATATCTAGAATCCAAATTAAATCACTATATATCTCTTCATGTAGAATATTCGGAATCCAAACTAAATAACCATTAACTAACATGAGTTCATTGCTAAAGTGAGATTCTTTAGCACCATCACTAATTTGATGTACAAAAATTATTCTGTTAATATTTATTATTGTATAACTATTTACACAATAATATATTCTAAAAGGAATTTTTTGAATATGTAAGGACGTATTAGTAATGTTTTTCAAGTTATTCAAGTCATAATAGTATACTATATAGTATGTGATGTAGTAACATTATGATGAAATGGGGCCAAGTACCTCTTCTGATTCATGCTAAATTGATCAAAATGCATCTTTTACTTCACATGTTATTGATAAGGAGGATAATGACCAACATAAACCTTTCAATAAGATAAGCAAAAATAAAAAACCAATGAGGAAATATGCTGCAAACTTCAAGCATCAACATGGTCTGAGATTTCCTTGTCATGCTCACACCAATCTTTCAAACATGCACCATTTGGTGTACTTGTCTTAATATGATGAAAAAGATAAACACTTATATCAACCATAATACAATTTGATCATTTAGATGCGAACCAAAGGAAAAGAAAATTTTGATACGTACCTACATTCATTTCAAGGTTAGTGAAGGTGCATGATCACTTTGACTTTATGTGACAATGCTCTTATGGTACTTATCTTCAACATATATATGTAAATTTCACACTCCAGCGCCATAAATTGCTTCCAAATAGCAATTAATTGTGCACATGTCTAGAGTTTAAAGGTATTATATCTTAAGTTATGATTCATCTCTTAGGCTTTTTATCAAACAGTTGGTGTATCAAATAATTACTTAATATAATTCTTCCTTCATCAAACAAATGGCAATCAATTGCTACTGATGATGAGTTTTTGAATTAACTTTTCTCAAAGTAAAATTCAAACCTTGAAACTGTTCAATATCGATCTAAATTAATGATCAACTGGAGATGATGACAAATTGCTAAAAATTGATTTCTCTAATAGCAAAATTGATGAAGTGAAAATTAAAACCCTTACTTACAAACCTCTTGAAAAAGGAAACTTGATGAAAAGAAATCCCTACATATGGTCCTTCTGTAATAGAGAAATTGTTCTATTTTGATGATGAATTGTAAAAAATCGTTCCTTATTGATCCTTCTGTAGTTTGTGATTTGTGATTGAAACAATTCTGAAAACGATTGCTGATCAATTGTAAATCTATGAAAAAACAAAAACTTATTGACCGATTGTTGAAATCACAACAGATTAATGAACCAAATTTTCTAAAAAAATTGAATTCTCTTTCATTAAGTCTGTAAAATCACAAATCATTGTAGCATGAGTGATAATTAACGTACAAAACTCATTGCGATTGAGAAAATCATCCGAGGAAATCATCGGATGAAAGAGCGAATTTGATTTTGTACGTTGATTAAGGAAAGATCATGTAAATCATGGGATTCCATTATATGATTAAAATCTGACTAATCTATCCTTGAGTGTTTAATTAAGCTTCTCAATTAGGGTTTTTTTTTGAACCACAAGATCAAATTTGATCAAAGACTAATATTTGGTCCCTATGTCTCATAAAATATAGATGGTCTTAAATGAACCTATATATATATATATATATATATATATATATATATATATATATATATATATTATCTTAAAGTTAATATCAATAAAATAACCATTTTAAACATATATTTTTCAATATTTTAAGAATATATTTTTAATTTTCGTTGCACAATCCACAATTCTTGATAAAGATAAGTCAAAACAGAGGTTAACCAAATAGCGATTTTATCTTCCCTTCATGAATGATGAATCAAATTCACATTGGAATAATATTTACATGAGGCTGTGATTGATGATTAATTAATAATTATTATTTTAATATATAACAACTGATTTTCTTTCATCGTCATATAAATAATTAAATAACTAATCATCAACGTACAAACACATTATAGAAGTTTATCAAAAACATAAATAACTAAAAAGTTGGTGACTTCAAATATTTTTGAAAGCAAACAACCGAAAGGGATTGTAACTTTCTTTCCTAAAATTCGAAATACATGCAATTCCATTTCCTAGGGTAATTAAATACAAAATCCGTCACAAAGAAACTTCGGATGTTTTGTTAGCCATCAAACAAGCATTGGACGAAGGAATTTATGCATAACCAACCTCTTCATCTCGTTCCACCCAATGGGAATCAATAAAGGGAGTCTAGTTCTAGTGCATAGCTCTTTGATATCTTGCCACCATTGAAAAACCTCTCCCTCTTGTGGCAATGAGGCAACTACAAGTTCGAATTGTTGATACCCTGGGACACGATAATACTCAAAATACAATTCTACTTCCTTTACCCATTTGCGAAACACATCACAATCAAACTTGTCAGGGAATGTTGGGAAACGTATGTCTGGGTTGTAAGGAGGTGGTTTCTCCCTTGTAGGATGCAAATCCACTCGCTCTTCTTGATATTCTTTCAAACCCGTCTCCATTAATTCTACACGTTTGTCCAGATCTTCGAGTTTCTTTACCATGGGCCCAATACAATACACCTCATAATTTTATTTATATCGTTGGCCAACAAACCCAAAGCAGCGCTTTCTACATCTACACTGAAAATTTAAAAAACAAATACGAGTATCCTTTACTTGTAGATCAACTGCAAAATGAAAAGATCAATTCCTTCTCAAAGTTTTCCCTGATTCAATAATAACATATTCAATTCTAAACCACCTTTACATTTTTCTCACTCACACACAAAACCCTAGCAAAATAGTATAGGCATAGATCTTAATATAGAAAATCATTACTTTTAGACGGACGTTTGAAGTTAAATTGCAAATTACCATATTTTGATGATGTTTAACAAAGGTATACGTAATTCTCCCACACTTCACTTTTATAATATAAAGTAAAAAATTATTATGTCATTCAAAAATAATAAAAATTTCTAGTAACCTGGAGTCAAGGTGTCCTTGATCTTGATCCATGTCTTGGGTTTTCACGATTACCGTTATTACGTGAAGCAATCGTCCCGTGATTTGCCGGCTTCTCCTCCGCCCTCTACGGTGTACCAGAACCCTAAGGTGGAGATGGATCAATTTATGCGTAACATCAAACCCTAAACCCGTGGCCCATTGAACTGTGAAACAAATACCCAAACAACCCAACCCATAATTATAAACTCGTCGTATCGGCCCAGTAACAAGAACAGCTCATCGGTAAATCGCATGAACAACTGCCACGTGTAAAAGCAACGTGTACATGAATCAGCCACGTGTCTTCTGGATCCAAATCAGTACCGATCCATCTTCATCAATCATCGATTGATTTAATTCCCTTCTCTCATTCTCTGCATGTCTCTCTAAAACCAAACTCAGCGCAAATCGAAACAAGGAAAAAGCTCATAACTAGATCGTAAAATGGCGACAGATTTGAAACCGAAGTACGCATACACGGTGGTTTACGTCAAGGATGTTGCTAAATCCGTCGAGTTTTACGGTAAGGCGTTCGGTCAGCCTGTTCGCCGTTTGGACGATTCCCACAGGTATGGATCGATCCATAATTTCTTGATTCCTATCCATATGTTGCAATAATTTCATCAACTGATCGAATTCAGACATGAAATGAAACATGTCGTGGTTGGTTGTTGATAGATGGGGTGAGCTAGAAAGCGGACAGACAACAATCGCGTTTACGCCGGTGCATCAACATGAAACGGATGATCTCACCGGAGAGGTTCAGGAACAAAAGTCGAAAACCATAAGGAATCAACTTGAGGTTTGCTTTGCTTATGCAGACGTGGATGCTGCATACAAGGTGCTTGATAATTAATGTGCCTTTTTGGAAAAGCTATTTGGTGTTTATATATGATAAGATTTTGGATTTGTTTATATGATGGGTTGGATTTGGATTGCAGAGGGCGGTGGAGAATGGGGCGGAGGCGGTGTGCCCGCCGGAGGATAAAGAATGGGGACAGCGGGTCGGGTATGTTCGTGATATCGATGGTATTGTGGTGAGGATGGGAAGCTTTGTGAAGCAGTGTTGATTGTGGAATCATGTGCATGTATGTATGCATAGACACTGTGTGTGTGACTGTGGTGGTGGGGTAATGTGTTAAATAATATTATAGTATGTTTTGTTTTTTCATATATCGTTTCACGATTTCTTCATAAAAATCTATATAGGGGCGTTCGATTGTATGTAATTATATGAAATTAAAAGAATAAGAACATTAAAGTAATTATTATAAATTATAAATTATAAATTTCTAATAATGGGAGACTAGCTAGAAGGTTGTTTGGTTAGTTGTGAGCATCTGGGCGGGATCCGGGACAGATGTTATCGATCCGGTGGTATACTTTAAAACTATTCATGATGTTAAATTCGTAATAACGTGTGAAATATAAACATAGATTGAAGTAAACTTGGCTTGAATATCTTTATATTCAATAAAATCAATATGCAAAAAGAAATTAACAAAAAGAGAGCATTTTCTTTTTTAATTTAAGAATCGACGTTTAATTTAAGAATTACGTCGATGCTAAACAGGTGAAAGAACAGGTGAAAGAACAAAATAATCATTTTATTTCATTTTTCTTTCCAATTTTTGTCCGTTTTCTTGGCTCACTTATACGCACACTTTCATTCAAATCAAAATTCATAAACAACTAAGAACAAAACAAGCATGTATATGTAAACGTGTAAAACGATTTGTAAACTACGTATATGTAAATATGAACAATGATTTTTGAACTTTAAAATTGACAAATTAAACGATTTAATAACTATAATCTTAAACTAAGTATATGTAATTTACATATTAAAGGATTTGTAAAGTAAAACCTATAATCTACAATTTTGCTATAAACCTCTTAATGTTATTATTATTGGTTATGGTTCGTATTATTATTCCAGAAAATACAACTTATAATTATTATTATTGGTTATGGTTCGTATTATTATTCCAGAAAATACAACTTTCTGTGTTAGCTAATAACGAATAATGGGATAAACAACATGAGAGCAAATAAAAATATTTGGCAATGGCGCATACTTGAAATCAAAACAAAAGATTCATGGTTTAAACAATATGAAATCAGGAAGAAAAAAAAAGCCATTCTTGCATATTTGCTTAACATTACAAAGATACTTACTTGATTTGGTTAGTTAGCTTCTATGGTTATTATTCTTGATCCAGAAGGAAAAAAAAGGGCTTGAACTTAGAGAATAATATGCCCAGTCGCTAATAACATGAAGGGTTTTAGGTTTTGAATTGCAAAAGTATATCCTATTTATGTGATATTTTATCATACATATTTATAAAGCTAGTATTTTTTCTTGAATCTCATGCATTTGAAACTCCCTTTTTTATTTTCTCAAACCACATTCATTTGAAACCTCATTTTTAACTAATGCAACTTAAAAGTTTCTTAATTATGATTTAACACTCAAAAGTTTTATAACTTATATTATGTTTAATTAGCATTTAGTGAAAAGTTTACTATAAAAATGTCAATCTTTTGTGTTATATAAAATCTTACATGTAAGAAGGATTTGAAAATATTATGATTCAAAAGTTTTCATATAGTTGAAGCATTCACGATCCAAATATGATGATTTGAAGAAATGAGTTATGTCACATCGATGTTAATTATAATATGATTTTTTCTTTCAACCAAAACAAATGAAGCTTTTCTATTCTTTCTTTATATTTATTTTCTCATTTAATCTTTATATGTGATTTGTGTGTATTACTCAATCTTGAATGTGACTCTCCAAACATCAATGTTTTGCTTGAAATATCTTTCTGTTTCTTCTTTTTCAAGAAAAATATTTTGATTGCAGGTTAGTGAAGAATTGTCATCAAGTTTCTATGGTTGAATGATGTTAAATGAAGAAAAACTACTCATAAAATGGATATAGGTTTTTTTGTTTGAGAAAAGTTGACGAATGTTAGTTTTTTCTTTTGATTTAAATGTATGTTTATGTAACATCTTTATTTATATATTAAACCACCCAATGCTCTTATTTATTTGATTGTAGTTTGTCTATTTTGATTATGTTTATTTTCTATTATTTTTTTGTTGGGTTATCCTACACATTTGATATGTAATTATGATAGACTTATCATGATATGTTCTTCATATGAAAGTAATTTATCAATATTACTACGACAAAAATTACATATGATATTTACGAAAATATATATATTATATATGATTTGTTTAACATGTATATGCACCTATGTATGTTATAAATTTATAATTAAATATCTTTATGTTTAATAATTGAAGGGACTAAAATGATGCATCAAAACCAATTATTTAGAAGAATATAATAATAATAATAATAATAATAATAATAATAATAATACATTTCCAAGTACCACATTCATTTAAAACTCACACTAGGACTCAAAAGTTTTCTAATTTATATATATATTTATTAGTTACAACTCAAGAGTTTTTAACTTATGATTATTAATTAATAATCACTAATAATTTTTTATTTTATTAAAAACATTAATGTATTTGAAGAGATTTGTGATTTAAATATGAAAAGTTAATATAAATGTTATAATAGATGTTTTGGTGTTTTTATGTTATTAAAAGTTATAGTGATTATTTTTCATATTTTTTATTATTCGTTGTATATATATCTTTTTTAATATAAATGTTATAATAAATGTTTTTTATTTTTATGTTACTAAAAATTGCAGTTCATATTTTTTTTCATACGTTTTGTTACCCGTTATATTATCATTCATTTGATATATAATTTACACAACTTTAAACGGTTTATAAAGTTATCAAATAATTATATATATCACAATGACTTAAAAATTAAACTATAATGTTGAATAAAACTAATATGTTAACTATATGTTTGTTTTACTACTAACATTTTGTTTAAAAATAGAAATATTAAATAATAATTTGGTAAAAGTTATTATTTTAACTATATAATTCTATTCTCGCGCAACGCGCGAGGATTCGCCTAGTCTTAATATACAATGGCTAACTGAAATACAACAAGATAAAGATTCCTTAATTTTAACTTAGAGATTAAATTAAGACACATAATATGATGTTTGTTAAGATGTATAATCGGTAATCGGTACTAAAACGGGAGAATAGGGAAACTTCAAGGTACCATAACCGGTTGGGCCAATTACTGAATCCACTACAAAAATAAAATCAGTACCGGACCAATTATATACAATCGGTATTGGTTTGTGACCGGGTCCGGTTCAGAACTGTGATATGATGCTATATGCACATCCATACCGTCTCATTTGAAAAATTCAGGAACGTGTTGTTAATCGAACGAAAACAGTCACAATCTTTGCAATGACACTCGTTGACAGCAAAGATATACTAAAAGAAGATACCGAAGTTTAGTAAGTGGGAATTAAAGGAAATATTTTTAAAAAAATCTCAATACTTTGAATCATTTTACGAAATAGTCACAAATTAATGTCTTTTTTACAAAAAAATCCTAAAAACCGGTAAAATGTTGCAATTTGACCATT